TAGGAACGTGAATGTGAACTGCTTACGTGTGGATATTTTCCTAACTTGCCTGGCAGTGGTTTCCTTTACTCTGTTTGGAGTCAGGCTCCAGCTTCACTTCCCTTGGTGTGTGAAGACATCTAGGACAGAGAGACCTCAGGGAAAGGAACATATGCCTACACACTGTCAGACTGCACTGTAGAATCACAGTGGCATTTACAAATGGTCCAATGCGAATTTTAAGCTAAGTACTCATTTATAGACATTTTTACATTAATTTTCCCAGAAATCCTTTGAAATAGGATTCACTACATCATGAAACAGCCTTGAGAGCTTTGATACAATGCCCTAAAAGGATCAATACATTTCCAATGACTGTCTACAGCCAAAGAAGTCACCCTTGTCATTCTTAAGTCTTCTTTTGAAGGGGTCTTCTACACAGCCAGGTAGGATCCACTCAGAGGCTGACCCCTTGTGTCGGTAATGAAGACGGAGTGAAGTATGGGTTGTATGTAACACCTTCAGAAGATAGAACTGGAGGGTTTGATTATCAATATCAAATGGTACTGGCAAGTAACATTTCATCACCCTATATCAATGCTTCTGGGAAAGGATTATACATATCTTGCAAGGATGAGTAAGTGCACAGCTTCTTAGAGCCTCTCTGGACAGACTCAAGCAGTAGAAGGGTGGTGGCACTGTCATCCTGGATATTCCATTTTTATTCATTATTATATGAATTTTCTTCATAATGAAAAGGGCTTGGGGTTTTTCTTTTCAATTTAGAGTTTTTAAAAATTTTTAATGTATTTGATTGTTGCAGAGTCTCACTACACAGCTTGGACTCATGATGATCTTCCTGTTTTCAGCTTCTCCAGGGCTGGGATTATAGGCTTACACCACTATGCCCAGACTCTGGCCTGCTCAGCCTGCCCTGGGGGTGGGGCTGGTGTGGCTGTAGTATGTGTGTGGGGATCAAATCAGGGTTCTTGCGCTTGCCTAAGCTTACCTAAGCAGATGCTTTAGTCCACTGAGCTATCTTGCCATCCCCCCTTTTAGATTTCTTTCTTTCTTTCTTTTTTTTTTTTCTTCCAATACTGGGGATTGAACTTAGGGCCTTGCACTTGCCACACAAGGGCTTATTCTACTGAGCTATCTCGCCAGCCCACTTTTAGCTTTTGGACAACAAATCTTTACAGCTCATTCAGGCTTTGGTGTTTGTAAGAACTGTGTAGGACACCGCATGGGAGAGGGATGAACAGTGTCCAATCTAGGGGTGACAGTGAATTGGCTGCTGGAAACTCAGTCACACCTGACAGCAAAATGGAGAGCTGCTTCTCACCAGCTTTCCCATGAGCTCAGGCTACTGAGAGATACTGTCTAAAACAGAAACTGCATGCCGGAGGGGACTTACAGTGCTTGATAACACAGATTTTTACACATCCTATTTTCGTTCATCACACAGATTCCTTTCTCTTAGCTCTTGGTGGCATGGATTGAGAACAGGAAAGATCTGAATAAGTTGATGTAACTTCTTTTTAAAGCCAAGAAAACCTGGGGGAAAGTTAAACTGCAAGGTCAAGACCACAGAGCTTGTCCAGGGAGGGTCAGTCTCCAAGTTTTTCTTAGATCCAGGCTAGGTGATTCTAGGGCCTGTGGACCTACAGACAAAAATCTCTACAAGAACTAGGCCTTTGTTTTCTTTTTCCTCAACATGCATAGTTGAGGTCAGCACTTATCACTGAACTAGAAGAAAATTTTGTTTTATTCTTGCTACATTTCTGTGTTTCTATGTTCTGTGTAATATTCTATTTAACACACACACACACACACACACACACAAAGTTTGATGTGATATATTCCACATGTGTGATATTTTTCTAGAAGTCCCACCTTTCCAGAATCAAAAATGTAATTGTTTCTAAAGTATCTTAAAATGTTCATGTTTTAAATTAAAATCTATATGCTGTCTGGTTAACTCTGTATTCTTCCCTTTGGAAAATGTATGTCAAGAGTACAAGGACACCTTGCCAGGTGTCCTGTTTCAAGAAAGTGACATTGTATGATTCTAGGTCCATTTATATGTGAGCAGATTTATTGAAAGCTGATTGTAAGTCTATTACAGAATGCTCTCTTATTCACAAATAGCTCATCTGGAAACTTCTCAATCTTTACAGTAAGCCAGTTACTGCAATGGTCGCCTCTCTTCTCCTGGAGAGTCCCAAAGTCACACTCTCTGCCTTTCTTCCTTAATGTACATTATTTTACCATTTCCTATTCTTAGAGCCTTTCTTTGTGGTCATCTGTCATTACTCTATAAATCTGAAGGAGATCACATAGGGACATGGGCTGGCTAAGCACTGAATGACATATTTGATATTTTCTCAGAGGTAAGACACTGGTAGAAGATAGCTGTTCATCTTGAACTGTGCTCCAAGAAACATGCTATTCCAAAGATATCCAAATACATTCTACCCTAAAGTTTCTGTGTCTGAATAATCTTTGTAAGCAAAATATTAAACAAAACTATTCCAAATTATTCCAGGGCATTTAATGGAACAACTGTCACAGATGTTGGGAATTCTCAGGATGAGAGTGTGGCAGACTGCATTTTCATCAGCTATATTCAACCAACGATGCCACTTTTTCCCCAGAGTAACCCTCAGGCTCAAAATTTCTGAGTACAATTTGAGGAAAACTAACCAATGAAGTTGCTCACAAAAAGGAGGTCTCATTTCTGGCAGATTAGCTTTTTAAATCTAAAACTTAGAGATGGGCAAGAGAAAAAGAAGGAAAGGTAGAGGTGGAACTTATGTGTAGAGGGAGGAACGTGGGTCATCTCTCTGATTATCATCATGGTTTGGAAGGCTGATAATGTTGTTGGAGAACAGAACACAGTTCGCTAGGTAACATGGAGTGGTTGCATCTTGACAAGTGGAAACATTACATTTTACTAGGGTTATTGAAATGCCAGATACTCTAGATGTTATTAAAACAGAATTGTTTTGAAACTCCTTTAACCTTATGCCGATGTAATCATAATGATGCACAGGTTACAGAAATATTCAGAAAATAACCTTGCCAAAGGAAAGAAGGGAAATAAAGACCATATTACAGAATAAGAAATTTTAGTGGAAGTGGGAGACAGGATAAACATAGGAAATGATGTCTAGTTATACTTTCATATAATAAGGGAGACATTTCACCCTACAGTGAAGCCAGTCTGGCTTGGTTAATGTCAGCACAGCCGAGTACAGTGAGAGAAACCAGACCTTGAGTTTAGAAACTGCACTTTTCAGTGGGGTAATTATCACACAGGCAGAATGAGCTACACGTTAGGTATAACTAGTGGGCATGGCGTCAGACACCCTGTGGTAATTCTCTGTTGTGAGCCAACATGTAGAATTTTCAGTAGGGCCTTGCATAGAGTTCAGCAGTAGGGGACAGTTTGTGGTGTAGAATCTGGCAAAAGCAGGATGGGATATTCTCAGTGTCCTTCTGTCTTCAGAAGACTGTTGATAGAGGGAGCACCAGAGGGTTGATCCAGGCCTATGGCTAATCCTTGTCTCAGGTCTGAGAGATGAGGCTCAGCCTAATCTTGACAGTTTTGAGTGTGGATGCCAAATGTTTTAAGCTACAAAGAGTAAGGGAAAGTGTAATTGACTGGTCAATAATTCGGACAGAAGTCTGGGCTCTCAGAGGTCTTTAGCCTTTTCTTTCTTAAGGTCATGATGATACATTAGGTCTTTCATCTAAGTCCAACTAAATGTGGTTGCATCTTGTCCAAAATAGTTATCTGGTGTTCTCCTGGAGGCTTTCGGGGAGAGAGTGTGGCAATGTTCCTGTTGTGCCTGTGACACTCTAAATTTTATGGTCATTCAGTTGGACTTGACTTTTTGATAACTCTTTGAGAGGAGGGGTAGTGAAATAAGAACCTGTGTCTGTCATTAACTAAGCTTTTAAAAGGTATCAAGATCATTTAAAAACATGCTACAGTGATACATGTGCAGGCACAATTCCTAACAGGTAAATCTTGGAAAGAACCCAAAGGCCCAACATGAGGAATGGATAAAAAGATGTGGTTGTTTTATACAATGGAGTACTCTTCATCCATAAAGATGTATGAACTCGAGACTTTTATAGGTAAATGCATGCAACTTGAGACCATACTCATAAGTGAAATGAATCAGACTCACATGTGTCAATATCATATTGTCTCCCTGGCATGAGAAATTGAGAGTAAATAAGGTGTAGAATGTGCAATAGATGTTATGGAATGGAATATAGTTGTTAACAAAGAAAAAGGAATCAGGAGGTGGAAAGGAGAAAAGAAGGGAAAAGGGAGAACAATGCAAGGTAGCTATACTATGATATGAGTGTCTCTGTCCATTGAAAGGGAAGTTTTGTGCTAATATCAATTAGAAAATTTTTATGCTCATATCTTGTACTCTGAGTATCTACTTTAAAGATGACAATATGCAATGCTTTAGCTAACCCAAATGCTATCTCCACTCTATGGAGAACAGAACTGAGTTCTAGGATGGCAGTCTGCTGCTCCAGTCTTCCGAGCTGGACTGGAAAGAGTCAGGTGATTTCCCTGGCCTTCTGGTCCAAGTGTGTTGCCTTAGGCCAATGATTCTTTACCTGGGAAGTTATCAACTTCATTTTCAAGTATTCGGATTTTATCAGGGTAGCATTTGAGCCTCTGTGTCAAACTTCTGCTGGTAATGTTGTTGGGCCCACCAAGCTGAGAATCTAGGCCTTCTCGTGCTGTTTTGTGGATTCTGCCATTCTTCATCCCTAAACTGCACTATGCAATGGGCTGGGAGATATTCATGGATTAGTTCCAAGGGTGTTTGTAGTAAGAGGAAAGAGCAGTGAATGAATGGATACCCCTAGAAGTTACAAAGGTCTCCCTAAAGGGAAAACAGAATATTTACACTTTATGAGAAGGCCTAATGAGGGACTGGAAGATGCTATTCATTCTGCACTCAGAGATCATTCTCACCCTTCTCTTGCAGGGGGTGTTGTCCTCAACCCAGCCTTTTACGGCATGCCAGGCCACACCAACATCATGATCCATGAGGTAGGGCATGTCCTGGGACTCTACCATGTCTTCAAAGGGGTCAGTGAGAGGGACTCCTGTGATGACCCCTGCAGAGAGACTGTGCCATCGATGGAGACAGGAGATCTCTGTGCCGACACTGCTCCCACGCCCAAGAGTAAGCTGTGTCAGATCCCAGAACCTGCCAATGACGCTTGCGGCCTCACCCACTTTCCAGGGGCTCCATTCAACAACTACATGAGCTACACAGGTATCATTACAGGCTTGATGCTTGTGTTATTAGTCAGACCACTGTGTGGGTAGGAGGTCTAGGTATGGATGGGCAGGTTGGAGGTTTAGGAGCCTGAGAGATTACTTGAGTGGTCAGAAAGTTGGAGTGTATTGATTATAGGATACTCTCTTTTCCATGTCTTTAAAGAACTTGAAGAAATGCTCAGACCCAGAAATCTTGGTAATTCCACTCACTTCCACTAGAGATTAAAAGAAAAACACCCTTTTTTCCTGGCTAGTATAAATGGGACAAAGCTAAAAGCCTCCTCCAGGCTCTTTGATTTATAGAACTTGATGGTTTGTGTTCCTGTTCATTTCCTCAGACATTTGCTCTGAAAGAGAATCTAATCATGATGGGTAAAAAAATGATTTCTGGGTCAAGATTGTTTATTTTTATAGTTTGCATTATTTTTACAGTTGTTCAACAAGAGGACTGTTACTTTCAGCCCAGGATTCCTTTTATTTTACATTATCTTTAAACAAAAATACTTTTTTCTCACAGAACTGATGCTTTGCATGGCTTCCATATACTCTGCCAATAATGGTGCTTTCTCATCTTAAAAATGATGCCCTCCTGGCTCCAGGAAGAACTGCCCTATTTGCTGTTGTTGTTTCTCAGTTCAGTTCCTGGATTATCCTGCTTTCCTGTCTCTTGTATCTTTCTTATTTTTTCCAAAAAATCAACTATAGTCTCCTTGCATGGAGAGTACATTCATCCCTCCAATTAAGGCCTAATTTGATTTGATGAAAACTTCCAATGAGGAACGAAGATTTTTTTTTTCTAGTTCTAGTTACTTGTTCCTAAAATAATCCAAAAACTTACATCAATGTATCGTACTCATGGCTCTGAGAGGAAGAAAGAACAATGAGCTGGTTCTGCCCATGACCCATCAAGATGTTTCTGTCCAAGTTTCTTTGTGGTGAACAACTCAGGTGCATTGAATTCCTAAGCACCAGTTCTTCTCTCCCTCACTAAGGACCCAGAAGCCTTTGACAGGGTATAAGACCAGAAACGGGAAAGCAGAGGCAAGAGCTCTTAATACCTTTGAGGTAGGAAGAGGAAACATTTACCAAGCAGGATGGTGTTTCACATTTGACTGGTGCCCTTTAAACAGAGAAATTCCTAAAACTAAGACAACTTCTTTATAACTTTGTGGAAAAAGGTACTTAATAGGGACATTTTTCTGACCACCTCCCCACCCACCGCAAAAGACTGAGACCACTCTTCCCATCCCTGCTGTTTTCTTGTCTTTCAACTTTATTTTCCTGGAACATCTCCAATGAATACTCACTGGCTTTGATCAACATCAACAGGCAATAAAGCAGGTGCCTGCAACTGTGGACATTTACAGTGACAGGGCCCTCTGCTAAGACACTGCCATCTTGTGGTTGGCTGAGCAAGCAACCATCAGCTAAGAGCAATCTAAACACCAGGGTTTTACTCTTTAACCTTGAAGTAATGGGTGGCCTTGCTTTGGAGATAAGCAAGCGCTCTTCCTCAGCCTTATCCCTGCTACTTCCACCTGTGATGCTTTCTAGAACACAGTGCATTTACTTTTTCATGTGTATTTTCAGCCTGGTAAATATGAAGTGTTGGGCTAGGTCCTGATAACTGCTGAGAACAAGCCAGGACTGGGCTCTGCATTGGTGGGCTTTACAGGTTGAAACCTCTACATCTTGTGTTTTCTTTTTCTTTTTTTGTCTCACAGATGATAACTGCACCAACAGCTTCACGCCCAACCAAGTGGCACGGATGCACTGCTACCTGGACCTTGTATATCAACAATGGAGTCAAAGCAGAAAGCCCACCCCCATTCCCATCCCACCCATGGTCATTGGGCAGACTCCGAAGTCCCTCACTATCTACTGGCTGCCTCCTATTAGTGGAGTTGTATATGACAGGTGAGCATGGGGCTGTCTGCAGAGGCATCCATAAACTGTCCTTGTGGTGTTTCAGGACAGGATGGATATGGAGCCAGGCCACCTGCCTCTGGGAGCTCTCAGCATGTGTGGCACTGCTCAGGGCTGCTTCCACCAGCCTGCTCTGCTCCCAGCTCCTCAGCACAGCTCTGGATCCTCTTCTGTGAGCCAGGGTCCATGTCACGCCCACCTCAGGAAAGGACAGAAGAGAATGACCAGTGTGAAAAAGGAGAACTAGCAAAACTCAAAGGGCATTTACTACCGCTCGTGTGAGCTTTTCCTCTGTGGTTTGAGGCTGGAGCAGTGGCTTGCTGTTTGCACAGTGGTGTTGGGGATCAAGAACTACAGAAAGCTTCTGCATGTAGTCCTGGAATGGGTAGACGGGTGGGTGGGAGCTTATGATTTCTTGCCATCTGTGCATTGGGGCTTACACAACTCGTGTGGGCATTTCTGATGCCATCTCAGCCGCCCGCTGCATCCTGTGCCGCCCCCTCCCCCATGGCTACTTTCTGATGGAATCACTACTGTCTGCTCACTTTTCTATCTGTGTCACTTAGCTGGCAACTGTTGGGGGTTAGAGACAGAATGATTTTCTGTATCTTTGGCTGTTGATCTTCTACAATAAACTTAATGCTTTTCTTATTGAAAAGTATGGAGAAAAGTATGATACCTAAAGCTAGCTTTCATTTTTCCTTTGTATATTAGTGGAGAAAAGTTTTGTAAAAAGCTAGGAAAAAGAATGACATCTGATGGAAGAATAGGAGAGTGTGGTCTAACTGAAAGGCTCAGTGCCCCATCTTTGATCGATGATGATGAGTATCTTTCAAAATCTACCACCACACCCTAAGTAACAAGGACAGTACTGTCAAGTCCATCCTCCTATGTACGAAGTAGTCCCTCCTATGTATGAAGCACTCTGGTAGATAGCTTATTGCACTTGCCTATGTGTTCTTTGCAGTAAGCACAACTCCTGCTATCTAAATGAGAAATCTGAGAATTAGAAAAACACAAAGACCCCACAACTGCACAGAAGTGAATTGAGGGAATCTCATGGAAATTCAGAAATGATAAACATGGAACTGATGATTTCTTTGAATTCAGAGCTTCCCTGTTTAGCAGGCAGATCGCTTCTTTTCTTCAGGCCATACTGCCTTTGTGGGTGTGGGGTCCAGTGAAGGTGCTGGATATCCCTGGAGGGTGTCTTTAGTCCCAGTAGCTCCACTGAAAGTCTGAGAAAGATGAGAAAGATGAGGATAGGATAAAACTGGGAAGTCCTTTTTCAGAGTGGTATTTACGAGCGCCTGGGATCTAGATATTTGTTCTTGAAACCTTAACCCGTACTCAGTGGGTGACGTCACTCAGCACTCACAACCCAGCAGCCGAGCTTTCATTGTCATCAGTGACCAGGCTCTCCTGGGCTCTGTTTGGTGATTCAGCACACATCTATGCGGTGTGCAGAGGAATCATCTTCCTGCAAGTGTGACCTTGCACAGCGCTGGTCAGACAGGCTGAACAGTAAGTCCTCTGTGGGTACGCGCGAACCAGAGTTTTACATCAGTTTATGTAACACATGTAAACAATTTAATCTTTCAATTCTCTCTCTGGTACAAATGTTACGATAAAGCAGACATCAGAACTGCTTGGCTGAGAGTCTGTTGGCAGAAAAGGCTGCAATTTGCTTCCTCTTCTCAGCTAGGTGGGCTACAGTTTTGAGGCCTCCCAACACGTGTGTTGGGGGACTCACGTCACATGCCCGGCGATTTGTGTCACGCCTGGAGTTGTGTTTACTCCACCCTCGTAGGTATTTGGAATCCTTATGTCAGAGAGGAGTCCCAGCTACGCACTGGGCAGCAGCCCCAGAAGGGCCAAGTGCATCAGGGAAATGTGGTTTGGAGTTGCGACCACATCAGAGGCGATCACTGATTGGAGTCTGAGGGTGAATGAATCTTAACTACACATTTCAGTTGCCAGAATACTGGACATTAGATGATGTTTGTGACCTTGCTCAAAGGAATTAAGGAACTTGTGACCTTTGGGGAATTTACTTAACTACTCTGAGCCTGAATTTTCTCATTTATAAACATAGGGCCACTACAGGGATTAGAAACCATTTATGAAAAAAGAAAGTGCCACAAGGTCAGGTATGTGAGGGATTTAATAAAGAAAAACTGCTATTGTGGTTATCACTTTTGTTCAAAAATATTGTTTCCCTAGCAAAAGCTATTCATGTGCTGTTAATATTTTACCCATTGAGTGTTCCTGATTTCATGCCTACATTTTAGATGTGCATTTCATGATTGGGCTCCTAAAAACATTCCCAAGTATAAGAGTCAAGCCTTGTTAAGTGCTTTCCCCTGTTAACTAGTTATTATCATGTCTACCTGTTATACTCACCATGAAAATAGAGCTTTTCATAGACTGTATAAACTATCTCATAGCATCTACCAAATCAGCATTCGCTGAATCCATCCCTGTACTCAACTCCTGTGCTCACAGAGAGAGAATACAATAGGTTCAGACCTACCCAGAGCCCAGAGAGGAAGCATATGAGTGCAAAGTCTTACTGGCACACAGCAGCATCCTAAGAGAGGAGCCAGCAGGTGTAGTCAGCGTACAAAGGAATCAGGCTGAACATCTGCACAAGGGTTCTATTGGAATGGATCTTGAATTGTCTTGCATAGGAGTCTGTAGACTAAGCAGAGGTGACTGGAAAGATCACCTAACTGCTGAGAGGACAGCATGTTTCATGGAGCTCAGGCGTGATATATTTGTGGAATAGTGGTATGTTCGTTGCGATAGGAACATAAAACCATGTAGGAGCAGCAGTAGGAAAGCCAGAGCTAACTGGTTAATGAGCCCTATGTAATGGTAAAGAACTCAGACTTGTCCTTTTAGACACTGGAGAGCCAAGGAAAATAATATTTCATGTAGCTTTTATTTAACGGATGTGATTAAAAGTAGGGAGTTTAAAACATGAGAACACATAGCTAAAATTTTATTTTAAAAATTATTGTCTGTCTTAGCGGAGCGGGGAATGCAAGCAGTCTTTAATGACTTTTGGATAGTCAGTGCAGAAAGAAGTTTTGTGTTAAATCGGATTATAATTGTTTTATGTTTAATGTTCTCAGGACAGAAGCTGCCCACCTGCATCTCCATGATCCTCCTTTATGACTTATATTTTTCTCCTTCATGACCTTGAGATTTTCATGTCATTGTGAATTTTGCAGAGATGAGTTCTATACAAGCAGGAAATGAGAAACAATCATGTCTCCAGTTGCCCTCTAGGATCTCACTGCTTATGGCCACCTTTTGTGTTTCTTGTCTTCCTAAATTCCTGATCCAAGTTTATCTGACAAACTCTCCTCTTCACTTGCCCCTTTTGCCTAGGGCCCCGGGCAGCATGTGTGGCTCCTGCTCTGAAGATGGGACATTCCGTCAGTATGTGCACTCCGCTTCCTCCAGGCGGGTATGTGACTCCTCAGGCTACTGGACTCCAGAGGAGGCTGTGGGTAAAGTACCGTTGCTTTTGATTTATACCATAGTGGCCATTGAGGAATGGGGTAGAAGCAAAGGATGGAGCAAGTGCGCAGTGGGGAAGGGGTGTGTGTGTGTGTGTGTGTGTGTGTGTGTGTGTTGGTGTTTTGTTGTATATCTCTAGCCTTAGGAAGACTTCCTGGTGGCTGTAGGTCCTGAATGTCCCATATGCACCTAATGTGGAGGCCTCACTTCTGTGAAGAAGCTGAGATTATCAGCTAGCTCAGAGAGACCAAGAAGTCTGCTGATCTCGGGGGTGACTTTAGGGTGAGACAGGGCCAGGGATGTTCCATGTGCCCACTTATCCCTGGAGCTACCTCACCATGTGACAGGACCAGGTGATTTCTCCCTGCTCAGTATCAAGAGAATAACAGAAAACCCACTGCAGTCTACGATCACACATTGGCTGGCTGAGTTGGGGTGAGGGTAAGGGGGACTAGGTGTTCCACACTGCTTGTTCTCAGCTGTGCTATTTTTATGAGTCTATTAATCACTGGTACTGGTTGTGCTTTGGATATGATCTAAGCTAGGCTCCCAGAGGGGGAAGATGTTCTTTGTTATCTCTTTTCCTGTCCCTCCCCCAACTTCTCAGTCATAGTCACTCATATATGTACATCAGACCCCTAAGACAGATTTCAATCTGAATGATTTCTCACTGCTAGGCTGGAAAACGCTGTCACTGTGACTCTCCTCACTTCCTGATGACTGGCTTCACTTCTTCCACGATCTCATCTTCAGTACTCACCTAATCATGTTTTGTCTTCACTTCGTCCCCCCTTATGTTTCTTAAGAGTCAAAAAAGAAAACACTCAGATGTGTTGGATACAATTTATTTGAATTATGTTACAGTCTTGACTGTGACCATAAAATAGGAAAGGTGTGGTCTGAGTCTGCCGTGTATGCTGTCACCCCAGGCTTCCAGGTCACTCAGGTGATAGGCCCTGGAGGAGCTGGTGGGGGATGACACATGTGACTGACTGTATAGGACTTTTTTTAGAGGAGAGTTTTCAGAGAAGAATGGAAAGTGAATATAAAATTTACTGCATTGGGCTCATGGAGAGATTGGCATTTAATGAAAGGACATTTCTGTGGCAAACAGTTTGTTCTGTGCTGGAGCTTTAATGCCTGTTTGACTCTCTAACCCAGAATTTTTTTTTTTTCTTTTTAATTCTTGGGAAAGTTCAAAATTATCTGGTTGAGGTGAAAGGAATTTTAAATCCTGGATTATAACTCTCATATCTTGAGGCAAACTGAATCAACTTTTAGGGCCTCTACTCCATGTTTAACATGAGGTCACAATGGAAACCTTCTAAGCAGCACTGCTGCTGGGTGGCCTTTCCAGGGCCTTTGCTCTGCTAGCTGTTTTGGAATAAACACTGAAAAATTCTGCTAAGAAAATCTGGGATTCCCTTGCTTTGAAATGGTTGAAGTCTTGGTCAAATTTAAAATATACACAGTAATAGTAACTGAATCCTCAGCAAAGTATGCACAGGTATGGATTCACAGATATGACACAATAATGTTAATGGCACTTAACTAACACATTAGTGACCACCAATTTCCTTCTAAATTCCAGAGGGAAAGATAGAAGTGGCAGATAGAAAATCAACTAGACTCATTCCTATATCATCCTATTGGCAAGAATTTTTCTAACTTCACAATCTAAAATAGCTCTCAACCTCACCTCATAATTCTTTATTTGCTTATCTTCATTCATTATTTAAAAGACATTGCTAATTGAAATAATACTTTATAATTCACTTCATCTGACTCCCAATAGTAAGGTACAGGAGCCCTGGGTGCTCCTTGTTTCCATTACCTAGGTTCATGCTTGGTGTGAAGGTATCTGCAGTCAGCTTTTGGATGAATGAATGAGTCAGTTAGCAACATAAGCAAAACCCAACAATGACCATAAGATACAACACTACAATACTACACACACACACACACACACACACACACATACACACACAAACTTCATTTTACTAGGCTTTGGAACATTATTTTCCCAAATGCTAAATGACCGAATAATTCTACCTTTTGCAAATATATTGCATAGATCTTTCATACCGACCTAGGAAAGGAGGAGTTAAATATTAGTGCTTATCTTATAAGAAAGAAAACCAAAGCTTAAAAAGATGTGTCTGCTACAATGACACAGCTGATGGCATGGTTCCAGTTAGAGCCTAATTCTGCTTGTTTCTAATTCAGCACTTGCTTTTCAATTCTCTTTATGTGATATAAAAGAAAAGGGCACTTTGTGAGGATTATTTCCATGGGCTGACCCTAACGTGTTTGTGCTACTTGATTTTTTTTTCACTGTTCATTTTTCCTTGGTTACTGAATCTCCTTTACTTCCTATTCAGTGCTCTGTGCTTGGGCTTCTTGTTTGTAGCTTCCTTGTGGGGTTACCTACTTGCTCACACATACATATCTGAGTTTAAAGGGAAATGCCCATGTATGTGCTAAAGTTCAGCTACCAGTTAAGGTGGCGAGGTGTCAAGATGGGATCTTAGGGGATGAAAGAAGTTTTGTGAAGAGCACTACAAAGAGTGCGGTGAAATCTGAAATGAGCATGGGACTGCAGAAGCATTATGTTCTCATAAATTTTTCCTGCTCAAGGGTTCTTTCTGGGCATAGCTTAACTTGTCTGCATCAACTTTAAGATTCTACCTAGGATCTGGTCAAACCATTCCCAACTTTTTGCCATGTTCCCTTGTTAAAGTGTATCATGTAGAGGTGATAGGGTAACAAGCCTAACATAAAAGTGTATCATAAAGTTACCTTTACATTTTTGTCTTTAATAACACATAAAATATAACCCCTAAACTAACCAACTCCTTTAGGAGTTACAAGTTCTCATTCTTTGCTTCTCATCTAGCTGCTGATTTGGGCTACTCCTTTCAGACCCATGGCGTGGTTCCTGACCTGTTTCTGCTCCTCTTCCTCAGGGCCTCCTGATGTAAACCAGCCTTGTGAGCCAAGCTTGGAAGCCTGGAGTCCTGAGCTCCATCTCTACCACATGAATATGACCGTGCCCTGCCCAGCAGAAGGCTGTAGCCTGGAGCTGCTCTTCCAGTACCCGGTCCAAGCTGACACTCTCACCCTCTGGGTCACTTACCTCTCCATGGATTCCTCCCAGGCACTGTTTGACACAGAGATCTTGCTGGAAAACCAGGAATCTGTGCACCTGGGCCCCTTAGACACTTTCTGTGACACACCTCTCACCATCAAACTGCATGTGGATGGCAAGGTCTCCGGGGTGAAGGTCTACACATTTGATGAGCGAATGGAGATTGATGCCGCCCTTCTCACTTCTCAGCCTCACAGTCCTTTGTGTTCCGGCTGCAAGCCTGTGAGGTACCAGGTTCTCCGGGAGCCTCCCTTTGCCAGTGGCTCACCCATGGTGGTGCCACAACCTCAGAGGAAGTTCACAGACATGTGAGTTGGGCAGTAAGGCCTCCTTACACATGAGGTTTCTGGGGGCCTGGGGGTTCATTTGGTTGCTTCTAACTCCATATTTTAACATTCTGACATGCCATTTATTGGAAGAGTGTTGAAAATATGAAAAAAGATTTTATTTTAGAGTGCCATATCTGAGACGAAAAATCTATTCCCCCAATGTTCTGACTGCTAGTGCTGTCCTTAGGATTGTAGGAAAAGAGGTTCCTGTCTGAGGTCTTTCAGTGGGACTGAACATGACTGCTGTCAATAAGTGGTTAAGAATCGGATTCTTCTGTCTGATGACAGTTGAATTCTGATTCCTTTCTGTAGCTTCCTAATAACCTGAGGCAGCTCCTATAACATTCAAAAGTACAGCCAACTCTGCCATAGTTAAGCAAAACTGTTGTCAGCCCTGCAGGCATGGCGCTCAGTTTCAGGGCTCATTCACAATGTGTTTCATTCTCCCCGCTTGTCACATTTCTTCTTCCCTCTTTCTTCTTTCCATCTCTTCTCATTCTTTTCTCTCTGCTGTGTTCCTAGTACCCTGTGGCCAGAGCCCCACAGCCTGGGATAACCCCAGTGGTCAATGCTGGGGACACAAGGATAAAGTCATTTCCTATAAAGCATTTGGTTCCTCCATAGGAGCCTGCTGCCATCTCCCAGGCAACTGTCCTCCAATCCCAGTTTGCTCCTGCAGAGGTTCCCTCAGGGGCACAACTAGGAGAAAACAAGGCTTTATCAGAGGTGCTATCACAAGTGTTTTTTTTTTTTTTTTTTTTGTGGTACCAGGGATTGAACTCAGGGCCTTGCACTTGCCAGGCAAGCGCTTATTCTACTGAGCCATCTCCCCAGCCCACTTCTATCTCAGTTTTTGTGGTAGTAGATATCCTCACAGAATGTAGTAACTTAAAACAATGAACATTCATGATTCGATGGATCATCTGGATCTTCTCCTTGCAATGGACTTAGCTAGAGCCACACAGCCTGGGATAACCTCACACACATATTGGAGGCCTCGGCTGACGCAGCTGCCCTGACTGGGAAGACCAGGACTCTTTCCTCGTGTTCTCTTGGGTTCTGCATTGAGCTGCTTCTTAAGGTAGTGGATGAGCTTCCAGCAGCAGATAGGGCAAGTTCCCATTAATCATGTGGTTTGTATTATTCAAGACAATGCCCTGCTAGTGCAGATAGATCAGCACCTGGGAGTGGGCATGGCCATGTGGCACTCTGCGCATAGCTACAAAATGTGTCCGCCTTGAGATTCAGTACATTTCCTTTTCCTTTTTTAGTACATTTTTCTTACCATAGTTACTCTTTCATTAGAATTGGAGAACAGTGAAGTGGTAGAAACACTAATGCAGATGGAGTGAGTTTTAAATCAAGACCATCAGTTTTGAGCTTCTTTTTTTTTGGTGGAACCGGGGATTGAACTCTGACCCTTGCGCTTGCCAGGGAAGTACTTGCTTTACTGAGCCATCTTTCCTGGCCAGTTTTGAGCTTCTGAAGTAAAGTGGTTAATACGTCAGCTGTAATCTAACAATATTCACAGGTATATAAATGTAAAGTCCATTAATATCGCATTTTATAGGTAGAAAACCAAGGCTGGATTTTAACTTGCTTGAGTAGCTAGTAAATGGAAGGTTCAGGATTAAGATCCAATTTTCCAACTGAATCTAACCTGTCCTTCCTAAGTAGCACATTCATATCATTTAAAGCCTGGCTACCTGATGCTCAGTTTTTCCCATAAGAAGGTAAAACACATGATAAAGTTTCCATTCAAAGCTTTTCCCAGTCACAGAGCAGTGTAAGACTATGTATGATTGGGTGAGAAATTTGATAGAAACTTGTAAGGGGAAACCATCAACATTGATTAAGACCTGAAATTAGATTTGCTGTAGCAATATCTGGTATTCACATGAAAGGGACACTTCCCTCAAAAGGAAGGCTAATTTGAAGATTTTAAAGTTTTTAATATTTAGGTGTCATTATTATTAAAATACTTAAAAGACAGGATAGAGATTTTTGAAGGGCAGTTTTGAAATCCCAAGACATCACCTGTGTGCTGGTTTCTGCATCATGCGAGAGGACAGAGGCTCCGTGGCGGGGCTGAAGACTTTACTAAGGAACAGGGTCTTAGCAGGCCATGTATGATAGCCACTCCTGGCATTCCAAGCAATCTGTTGATGGCTTCTTCTCCTAAGTCAGCCCTGTCCCAGGTTGACTTTGGTGGTGATTTTCCAGTCATATCCGGCACTGGACAAATTAAGAAAAGGATGCCATTTGTCTTCAGAAGCAGCAGCCCCCTTCAAGAGCACCTTCTTCTCCTAAATCTCCTGCCACTCACACTGTCTACCTAATCACAGCACTTGGCTATTGAGGGTCTAATAAATTCTCCTTATCTTTAATGTAAACATCATTCCTGATATTTGCAGGTAGACAGTAATTTAATGTATTTTTAATTGATTTTTTTCCTTGCTAAATCAGTGATAGAAAGTATTCTTGCTTCCTTTCATGAGGCAATTGCTCTTATTCCTATGAATTTATTGTCTTCAAGACAAAAAATATCTTGAAAAAGCTATGATCCACAGGCAGAAGCAGGTCCTTGATTGAGCCCAAACTCTAGGCCTTCCTCTGCAATTCTTTGATTACTTTGAAGATACAGAACACTGGTTTTTTCATATTTTGTTTTAACTTGGTTAAAATCTACTTGGGTACCAATTTCCCTAGGTTGTCTAGAACTGTTACATTTAGTATTAATTCAGCAAGCGTTTACTACATATCTACCACGTAAAATATATAAGAAAAACAGAAATAAACGTTTCCAATGTTATGATGTTTCGTAAGACTATGCCCTAAACTCCATTTTAAACAATACAGCATTTTAAACACTTATGTTCTGCTAGTACTTCACTTAAACTCCTTCAAATCTGTTGCAAAGGATCCAAGCCAGGTCACACTTTGTGAATGTCATAGTCACCCACTTGTTGGTTTTCACAGGGAAGTCACACCTGGACAAATGTATCAATACCAAGTTCAAGCTAAAGTTGGACTAGAACTAGGAGAACCTTCACCTCCTCTGCACCACATCCATGGAGCTCCTTACTGCGGAGATGGGAAGGTGGAAAAGTGAGTATTGGGTGGACAGGGTATGAGGGTGAGGTCATTCTCACCTACTCTGACCAGGAGATGGGCTGAACTTTGAGCTTGATTTGTTTGGAAATGTAGGGGCACGTGCTTGTGTGATTCTAGAGTTGAACTTACAAAATCTGGGCTCTGATAATGACTTTGAGATATCACTGAAATCTCCATGTAATTATGGAAGGACTCATTTTATTTAGAACTCATCCCAGAGTATTGGGATGTTGAAGTCATTTCTCCGTAGTCCCCTTGGGGCCTCACTGAACAATTGTGGAGCAAAAATTTAGAAAGGAATGTACACTGAAGAAGATTCTTTGTCAAATAATGCTAAAAGAGGATAGCTTTTAGACCAATGCTTTGACCTATACTACTAACTCTTTGATTTTTGTAACCTGATGTGTGATTTGAAGAAAGTCAGTTACTCATTTTGATTCCAGATAGCACTAATTGCCATGTAATTCCCAAGTATACTGTAGGCATCACTATGGCAAAGATGGAAATATTCCTTTAGTTCCTTACTATCCTATGTCCCTTCTCTGTTGCTTGTGGTACTAACCTGGAGAACTAATTCATTCTGATTTTTCTGGGGCTTTCCCAGTTTTAGAACAGAGAAATCCCTAGTGCTAGGAAAAACAAAGCAGTTGCTCACCTTACACCAACCTATTCTTAATGCTTATCAAACCCAATTTATTATTTACATAGAGTTGCTGGGAGTAGCAGGTTGCTTGGTAAGGGGCTATAATTTGTTCCACATTCTGCATTTCCAAGATGAGGTAAAAATATATTATATCATAAGGCCCTAATGGGAATCAATTCTGTATCCTTTCATGGGATTCCATCCATTATTTAACAATCACTGAACATTATTTATCTTCTCAGTCTTCTAAGAACTTTAAACTACAGTGTAAGCCTACTCCTTTGCACAGAAGTACAGATGCTGAATGTTTCCAGATGTTGTTTATATATGGAAGCTACTGGGATGACTTTAACACGCAATCCTTGCTGGATTGTCACCCCACCCCCACCCTCCACCTAGCTCAGCCTCAATCTGCTGTCTTTTCCTGCAACTCAGATGAAATGTCTTCCTGAAGATGCTTCTTATGTGAGCAGCAAGTGTTATTGTCACTGTTGAGATTTTCTCTGTTCTGGCTTCTTCACCTTATGTCTGCGCTCCACATATCAAGGTGTTTGAAGCCTGAGTTGCCACTGTTGTACTGGCTTAGCTTTTTTTCAGAAAAATACCCTGCCCTAAGTTGCCTGTTCAGGGTATGCTCTGGTGATGCCAATGAGGCCCCAGCATGTTACATTTGTGTGGGTGGTGTGGGGCAGAACGGGGTGCTGGGCTCTCTACCTAATTTGGTACCCACATTTACTCTTTTTAAATTAATTGTAAATGAAACAAATAGCAATGAGGGGCCGGGGAGATGGCCCAGTGGAATAAGCACTTACCTGGCAAGCGCAAGGGCCTGAGTTCAATTCCTGGTCTCCCCCCTCCACCCAAAAAAAGAAACAAATAGCAGTGAGACAGTTTCAAAACAGGTGAGTAGGACAGTTACAATAATTAATACATTTCATATTGTCGTCTTTGTAGTAGTTATTCATAGTACAAGACACAGACAGGATATCCTGTCCAAACACTATTAGTACAAATCTTTCTTCTCATCGAATTAAGACAAGGTAGCTGTATATCTATCCTAACTATTTTGTATATACAGGTACAATGTGGTCCTTCACTTGTATCCCCTCTTTTGTTTAGTTTGGTCAGAGGTGGGTATTCTGTTGTCATGTAAATATTGCAGGTGCGTGAATTCAGCAATATAATCCAATCTAGTCGAGTGGTCCGTAATAGTAGGGGGTTATCCACAGGACTGGCGATGCCAGAAGTTGTTGACTTGAGCCTTTCACAGCTCAGCATATTCATGTTGCTTTACTCTTTATACCTCGTGTTTATACTTTTCTGCTGCATGGTTAGGACCAAGATAAAGCAAGACCTATAGAACAAGAAATGTCACTTCTGTATCTGACAAGGTCAATCAAATCCCCTCAGGATTTGCCTTGATGCCTTGAAGCAGCTTCGCCAGATGCAGCACTTTTTGGCTACCGTGTCAAAAATTTCCTCATCAAAATGCACTTTTGAGCTTCTCTCTCTGCATTTATGCTGTGTAAGATAATTAATGCTTCGTGCGATGGGAAGAAATGTTTGAATTCTGGCTTGACCTCCAATGGAGGCATTCCCTTACACTAAAGTAAAGTAGAGTCATACGAACAGCTTAACCCACCCGGGTAACACTTAGTAATGGACTCTCAATACAAGCACAAAGAAGGACCCTTCAATCTTGAGCAGTATCCACTTAGAATGTGGTCGCCTCAGGGTGTGCTGTCCAATAGGAGACAGCGGCATCTCTAGGCCTTGAGGCCTTGACATGGATCAATTACAGGTAATAAGCTGACTACTTGATTTTATTGGATAGTAAGTAATTTAGTTTAGAAACTGAAACTCAGCTCAGTTATTGGAAAATCTTTAAGTATAATTTGCAAATTTGGAATGACTTGGGTGGGGGAATCTACTTTTAAAGTACAGATTTTATGAAATCTAAACAAATATCCAGTGTTTAAATGGAGATATGCTGTGAGTGAAAAATACATATCTGATTTCAAAAATCTTAAGATGCAAAAATGAATGTAACAGTTCATCAATAATTTTATATCCATTAAATATTGAAGTGATATTTTATATATGTTAATTTGGGTGAAATATATTATTAAAACTAAGTCTCATACAGTTTTACTTTATTAATGACTACTAGAAAATATCAAATTATATGTGACTCATATTTTTATTCGACAACATTACACAAGATGGTACACAATATTCTTATATTAATTATTCAGATTACCTTCAAAATAAAAATATAAAATTGCCAACCTCCAAAACTGTCCAGGATCTCACTTAGAGAAACAGGAATGTAGGCTAATTCTCCCTCTTTGATAGGCAAGTGATTTCAAAAAATGAAATTTTGGGGACTTCCTGAATATCACACATCTGATTAGATCCCTGGTGTGGCATTCCTTCACTAAATCACATGGCCTTTGTATAGAAAAAAGATGTGAAAATTCCTTTATTTCTTCAGTTAAATTTTTCTCCTTTTCTGCTTACTTCTATTTCTCGTCCTTTCTTGACTTCTAGCTTATTGTACAGAATACAGTTACTGGGCTGGGGATTTACCTCAGTGCTAGAGTACCCGTGTAACATGCTCAAGGCCCTGGCTTGCATTCCTAGCACTGCAAAAGATAGGATTATTGTGTTACTGCATCCATAGTATACTTTTAATTCATATTAAAGTATATCCGATCATTTAGTTATTAATCTACCCCCATAAGGTATACTTTAAATAATGATAGAACCATTGGTGATACTCTGGATCTGAAAATTTCTTAGTGTCCCAAAGGTCTGTATCTACTGACTTGAACTGCATATCCAAAAGTCAAGGAATAAAATAATAACTTCCATGTACTTTGCAGTAGCCAAGTCTTTGTTCTTTGACAGGAGTTTCAGCCCAAGTATATCTATTTTGTTCTCACAACATGCTTCACGTTCCTTTAACTGTAAGCTAACTTATCCACTTCAGCCCATAGTTAGCCATGAATTACATTAGCTTTTTTGGAGGGGTAGGTAATGGGAATTGAACTCAGGACCTCACATTTTCCAGGCAGGAACTGTCCCATTGACCTAAATCTCTAGCCCTATGTTAGCTTTTGAGGTTTCAAAATGTCATTTCTTCTTCTTAAGGTCTTTTCTCCCCTGTAATAGATGACAGATGCCATCAGGTGACCATAGGGAGTTTGGACAGAGACCTGAACCCCAGATATTCCCTGGACTTAGTCAGTGAGGCTACTTGTGTCTTCTAGCTGTACACAAGTAGGAAATTTGTATCCATAGAATTCTAACTTTTACAATTTCATATAGATAAAAATAATGCAACAAAAATACAAAGAAATATAAAATAAATAGAAAAACTATAAAAAATATAGAAGTTTGCTTCTCTTCAAATTAGCTATTTATTTTTCTTCTTTGCAATTTTTAAAGGGAATAAGAAGTGTTAAAAAATAGCCAACCTTAGAAATGATACAGAATTTCACTAAACAAAATTCAGGAATTCACCAGTGGTTGTTGTATTAGATATTGTTGTCCTCAAATTAGTTGCTCTGATTACCAGCTTATCAGACATAAACTTGCAAAATTGGTCAAAAATCATAAAAAATTAAAAAGGAGAGAGAGAAGAAATTAAGTATTAACTGTTCCTTTCAATAGACCAGCAGAAATCAGCAGTACAATGGTCAAATGATTTTCTTGGATCATTTTTAACTAATGCATAAAAATATAAAAATAGGTATATGAATAAAGTGCCATGTGATATTTTGATGTATGTGCATCTTGTATAATGTTCAAAACAGATTAAAATACGCTTCTCCTTCAACATTTTATATCCCTTTAATAAAAACATTCAGAACTCTTTCCTTTGGGCTTTTTGAGCATTAAGTACATAACCATCACCTGTACTCACCCTAGGACTCATTAGAATGCTAGAAATCCTTGCTCTCATCTAACGCTAAACTTATACATCGACCCACTTTTCCCCATTCTCCCTCTCCCCTACCATTCTTAACCTCTGGTAACCACAATGCTGATTTCAACTTATTATGTGACCAACATTTTTAGATTCCACATGCAAATAGATCAAGTGGTACTTGTCTTTATGTATCCAGCCAGTTTTATGCAGTATACTGATTTACAGGTCCATTCATATGATCACAAGTGACTGAATTCCATTCTTCTTTTTTTTTTTCATTTATAAATCAAACTGGTTTAATTTATTTTTAAAACATTACTTTCAGACTGAGAAAGAATAAGTTACATGGAAACAATTTAAAATCAGTCATTTCTGAGTGATATTAGAAGTATGTAGGAGAAGAGTGACACAGACTTTTTATTCAAATAAATTACATGATACAATTTATAAGAGATAATTTTGATATTTTCTGTTATTTATAATTAATTAAAACAGATTCATAAATCTCACCCTTCGCCGTCACTACACACCATCTGGATCATATGAAAGTTCAGTTCTATGCCTGACACAGGTGACTTCAAGGAAAACAAATTATGTTAATCAAAACAGCAAAGGATCAATAAACAAAAGTGCACATAACATAGATAGTGTCATCCAAAGAGCCACAAAGATTCATCTTACTCTATTATCTTGACTCTGTGTAACTTCCCCCTTTCACTTCCACCTGGAAAGAACCTCCGCATGCATGACAACTAGAGTATAGTGCAGGGTTTCCAGCTCAATTGTATCAGTTCTACAATGACCTGTAATTTCTTTATGTAAAGAAGTGTCTTACTTTGCTATGCTTTTAATTCATTTGACTATATCACTATGTAAATTATGACTTTTTTTTAAAAAAGAGTTTGTCTCAGAATAGCAATTTATGCCGGGGTGTACACATAGCATTTTAAATTACAACTATTATCAGTATTTTTTGAAAAGTAAGGCTAGCTTTAGAGGTATTGTTGTAGCCACAAGACTTAACAAGTACAGAGGATGAAATGTGAAGTAGATTGATGGAACTAGACTGCACTTACCATCCTTAGAACTAATACTTAGTAAATATTTTTGGAACAAAAATTCTGCAAATTTAGTGTATAGCCAAACCATAAGATTTTGAATTGTTTTTTTTTTTTCAAAATTTTATTGATAAACAGCAATGAGACAGTTTCAAATCAAATCGGTAGTACAGTTTCAATAATTCCATTGTTCTTGTGACCAAATAGTGTCCCACTATGTACATGTTTCACATTTTGTTCATCATTCATCAGCCTAGCTGTTGCGGATAGTGCAGCAATGAACATTAGAGTGCAGGTATTTCTTGAAAATACTAATTTAGTTTCTTTTGGATACACAGTAGTAAGATTGCCAGATTGTATGGTAGTTCTATTTTGACTTTCTTAAGAAACTCCACACTGTTCCAATTTGCGTTCCCACCAAGTGTGCAATATCTTTTTCTCCATATCCTCACCAGAACTTGTTACTTTTAGTCTTTTTGGTAATATTACTTTTTATTGGGCTGAAGTATTACCTCACTGTGGTTTTGACTTGAATTGCCTTGAGGAGTAGAGATGTTGAACATTTTTTCAACTCCCTGTTGGATGTTTTATGTCTTCGAATGTTGACTACCCAATTTATTGTTTATCTGTTTTTTTGGTTACTGAATTTTGAGAATATCAAGTAGCTCCTTGTCAGAGGCATAGCTTGCAAATATTTTCTTACTTTGCTATGCAGAAATTTAACTCTTTATTTTGGTACTGGCAATCAAACTCATAGCCTCACACTTGCCAGTCATCTGCTGTGCCACTCAGCTATCTCCCCAGCCCTTATATAGAAACTTTTCAGCTTGATGTAATTCCAATTATATATTTTTGTTTTTTTTTTTTCCTGTGACTTTGCTTCTTGTCCCCAAACTCCTTTCCCATTCCAATGTTCTGAACAATTTCCTCAGTTTTCTTCTAGTAGTTTTAAAGTTTTATGCTTTATAGTTAGGTCTTTAAATCCATTTACATCTTAAATTTTCATGATGATTTATGACACTGGTGACAGATAAGAGCCTAGTTTTATTTTTCTGCATATATATATATATATATATATATATCCAATTTTCTCAATGTCATTTATTAAAAGTCTGTTCTTTCTCCAACATATGCTGCTATCACTATTGTCAAAAATGGTTGTAGATGTGTAGATTTGCTTGTAAGCTCCGTATTCTGTTCAGTTGATCCATGTGTCTACATCTGTACTAAGGCAATGTGGTTCTACTACTAAAGCTCTGTTGTACAATTCAGAGTCAAGAAGTATCATTCCTTCTACTTTGTTCTTGCTTCTCAAGACTGTTTCAGCTGTTGAGTTTTTATCTGTACATGTGGTTCTATATAAAATTTAAGTTTTTAGTTCTATAAAGAAAGTTATCGATATTTTGATAGGGATTATATTGGCTCTGGAGATCATTTTGTGTAGCATGGACATTTTAACAGCCAATAAGCATTGGATGTCTGTGTGTGTGTGTGTGTGTGTGTGTGTGTGTGTGTGTCTGTGAGGGGTGCATGTCCCCTTCTAAGTCTTTCATCAGTATTTTATGATTTTCACTGTAGAGACTTTACCTTTTTTATTAAATTTGTTCCTAGGTATTTTATTTTTTATATTTACTGTAAATAGAATTGTCTTCTTGATTTCTATTTTAATAATTGGCTATTAATACATAGCAATGCTACTGATATTATAAAACAGTACAACTAGTAAACAAATTCCGCAAAATTATAGGGAACAATTCTAAGATTCCACTCACTATATGGCTAAGTTGACCTTTTCTCAGTTCATAGGCTTGCCACTGACATTAACATCACTTTCAGGGGGATCTTGGAGGTATGTTTAAGCTGATTAAGCAGGGCTGGCCAGATAGCTCAGTAGATTAAAGCACCTGCTTAGGCAGACACAGGGGCTGGGGTTCTATCCCTGTTGTGCCGTGCCAGTTTCATCCCCAGGGCTTACTGAGATGGTGATTGAGACTAGGTGTGGTGGCGTGTGCCTGTAATTCCAGTGTTTGGGAGGCTGAAAACAGGAGGATCACTAGGAGTCTGATCTGTGTAGTGAGACCCTGTAGACCCTGTATTAAAGCAAACAAATAAATAAATAAATTGATTAAGCAATGCCAGCGAGATACTCAGTAGCATAAACGCCTGCCTGACCAAGTCCTGAGTTCAATCCTCACTCCCAAAAATTAAAAAAACAATAAAAAAATTGATCACTCAAGACACATGTCTGTATGTTTAAATGGGCACATTCTCTTAACTCGTACTTTAATTCATCTTTTACTTTTAAATGTACAATGAAGAATTTTATGTATTTGTATATATGAAATAGGATGGATATACAGCTACTTGGTCTTAATTCAATGAGAAGAAAGATTTGTGCTAATAGTGTTTAGACAGGATATCATGTCTGCATCTTGTACTATGAATAACTCTATGAAGACAACAATATGCAATGTATTAATTATTGTACCTGTCCTACTCACCTGTTTTGAAACTGTCTCATTGCTATTTGTTTCTCAATAAAATTAATTAAAATAGAAGTTAAAATGATGATAGCTAAAATGAAGAACCTTTATGTTTGCTTCTGGATGGATAATTCTAGGAGCCTGGGAGAAGAGTGTGATGATGGTGACCTGCTGGACACAGATGGATGTTCGAGAGCGTGTAAACTAGAAGATGGCTTCAACTGTGTGGGTGAGTTCAGAAGTTCCCAGCTGGACTTATCTTGTCTTATTTTTACAGATATCTGAGAGTGTTTTTTGAGTCCTTAATATTGTATACCATATGGTAAAATTAGTGATAATGATAAAAAGTAACAGCATTTTCTTCTTCTGTACACTAAATTTTTCACATATATTATTTCACTTAATAACTACCATAACTATGGGGAAACTAAAGCAAGGCACAGAAGCCTTAAATAATTTGCATTCACTTATATAACTAGAAGTGGTAAAGTTAGGATTTGTGCCAAGGAAGTACACCTCTGGGATCACAGGAGGAACTGTGAGGTTAGTGCTTCCCACCTTAATGTTACCAAGAATTTGCATTCAGTTATCATTTGTAACACCAAAATGTCCATGAGTAGCACACTCCTATGGAATCTACAAGCAAATGATGGTAAGGAATCATTCTAAGCAAAAGGAAATTCAGGATATCTCCTGATGTCTGTATTTAATAGATAAAATCATGGAGGATAAGACAGTCATATTTTTGACCTAGAAAGTCACTGATAATAAATGATAACTAGGAGAGTTTCACTCTAGACACTTGGAACTTGGGAAAGTAACCTCCAGTACACTCCCAATTCTGATGAAAGCTAACATCAACAGGTTTCTTAGATGCATGTTATTTTCCATTTCCATCTGCACACAATGAAACAATTCTGTAGAACATAACCATACTTCAATATTATTTTAGATAGCAACATTTAAGATTATTTTTGGGTTTTTTTTGGGGGGAGGAGTTACCAGAATTTGGGACTTTGTACTTGCTGGGCAGGCTCAGTGCACCTGAAGTACCTCCTCGGTCCTACTTTTGGATTTCTAAATTTTAAGATAATGTAGGAACTGATAATAATTATGTAGAATTTGCCTTATTAAGGTTTCAAGTACTTTTCAGCACACTCAAATGCCCCTCTTCTCTAGAGCCAGAATGGAACCATGGAATCTTATTGTCCATCCATGAATCCATCATTCATCCATTTTAAAAAATACCAACAATTTATTATGTACTTATCGGTGCCAGATATTCAGTATTTTTCATGTACCGAGAGTAGAATCGAGACTCACTCCCTTCATGTGTACAGTCTAGCAGTGCTTAGAATTCAGCTTTATTTTCCTATGAAATTTCCTTCTACCAGATCATGGTTGATGGGCTCATGACTTGGGCTTATACAATTCTAGCATGAAGATGCTACTTTGAAACAGACCATTTACTTAAGAATGATCTCATCTGTTGTAAAACATTCTACGTTTCTCTAGTTTGCAAAATGAAGTTGAGAACATCTCAATGATTCTTCCAAGGGCATGCAACAAGGCCTCTGTAGAGCCAGCCCTGGAACTCAGTTCTCTCATGCTCAATCAAGTGCACTTTCCTTCCTACAAAACTTCAGAGAATACATTTTTCCTTTTTTTTTTTTTTTGACTACCATTCAGATATTTGAAATGCCTTTTCATGTTTTCTCCTTTCCAATACCAACAATCCCTCATATGATTAGGTTTCAAGACCCTTTCCTATTTACCCCAACCTGGCATGCCTTGTGTGGTCAATGCCCAGAGAGGAAGCTGATACTCCAGATGTGGTTTGGCTGTGTTGAATACACGGAACCGATTATCCCCCTCTTCTGTGCACAAGTATCTGTTAATGCCATCTCTGTTTGTATTGTCTCTTTTTGGTAGCCACATAGTGGTCTCATTTTGAAAATAAACATACATTCTTCAAGCAATGTGCATCCAATGCAGCTCAAGTCTCACTTAACTGAAGAGCAGACTTGACTTTATTTCTATCATATTTGATCCCATAAAGTTTGACTCATATGCCCTTAGCCTATAACTCCAGTAAGACTATATCTAAATAATTTTAACTATACTTAAATACTATATTTAAGACTGTATTTAAATTCCTTATTGGTAAAGTTAAAGTTGAATGGTCTACCATTAGACATCCTTTTCAAGGATCAGTAGGTTTATTTTATGCTAAGTATATCATTCCATTTCATTAGAAACCTGGCATGGTGGCACCTACCTATAATCCCAGAACTCTGTAAGACAGAGGCAGGGGTATTGCATGTTTGAATCTAGCCTAGGAGAAGTAATGACTTGGTGAGGCCCTGTTTCAAAATAAAAAACTGAAAAAGAACCAAGGATGTCCTTAGTGTGAAGCTCATGGTTTCAACCACAATATTTTGAAAAAGAAATTGAAGAGATCATTTGAAATATATTTTTAAAGTAATCTGTAATTTTAGATGTATTTCTAAAAAATGACAACAATTTTAATCCTACAGTAAAAGAAAAGTATAAAAGTAAAAGTCACTGGGTTAAAAATGAAAAAGCATACATATAACTATTATAGATAATAATAAAGAGAAAGTGAGATGAAGGCAGAGAGGGATAGAAATAGAGGCAAAGAGAGAAATGGAGATGTATCATCCTGTGAAAATCATTTCAAAAGTACATATTCTAGCTTTGGGGGAAAGGTTGGATAAGATAGACTTTGGGTGGAGCCCACAGTAGGGTATATGTTGTGTAGGATACAGGAGTTGAGAGCCCCAAATAGTCTTAGAAACATGAGCTATGAAGAGTGGTTTAGTCTTGGCATATAGAGATAGATTTGCTACAGAAGAACATGGGGAATTATTATGGAGAATAATTAATAATTATATGTTAATTAGAAGCTAAAAATTACTCAAATATTCTTGTGGGATGCTGTGTAGAAATAAATACATAAAACATGTCACAGTAACAGTGAATTATATTAATGATTTTACTGGATATGTACCCTTGGTGTTCATTTATTTAGAATATTGATCTCATTTTAATGTCATGATACTTTAAGTAGAAATGGGGAAATCAGAGATGTGCTGTTAATATCAATTGTGCCATATTTTGCAGGAAATGCAATAGAACCTCATAGATAGCACTGTAGCTACTTCTTAGCTTTCTACATTTGATGAAAGCAAGCTTACATTGTCTACAAATAGTCAGTACTACTCAGTAGAAATTATCCTGCAAAACTTGCTCATTGATACAAGTTTGCTTTACAGCTCCCACAATTTCCCCAACTATCCCTTTCTCCTTTGCTTGCTCTAGGGGGCCTGGCCCTAGCTCAGTTCTTTAAGTGGCTGCTTCCACAATGCTGGCAGCCTCAGGTTGCTGTAGTTCGATCCCCACAACACTCCAGCCAGCCAAAAGTGCCCTGAAGGCATTCGAGGAGAAAAAAAAAATCCTTTGCTTGCTCTGTCTCAGAGAGACAGGAGGCTACTGACCCTGTGTCCTATAAACCTGACTCAAACCAGGCTCCGTCACTTCTCAGTCATGTGATATTGTTTGTTATTTGAGTTTGTAAGAACTCAATTTTTCACTAGTGAAACCAAAAAATACACACTCACAGGTTTTCTAAAACCAAAAGGAATAATCCATGGGTAATCCTGATAAATCTGAACTCTACTGATTCAGGTACAGTGCAGTCACATGGTTAAAGAAGTAAAGTACAATTCAAGAAGAAAAAATGAGGATAAGAAATAAAATTAAGAGGTAAAACCTCTCAAACATTTCACTATCTTAAAAATTATGGAGGAAATTCAAGTGTATAAGATACAACATTGTCTATTCGAGTTCCCCTTTTATCTCACATCTCTTCTATCTCTGGCTTCACCTGAGTGCCCCAGTCAACACTTAGTCTATGGCTACTGTTCTTTACCCCAGTCTCAATGCCCCTCTAGCTTTGCTATGTAGGTAGACTCACCTCTCCTCCAGTGAGCATTCTACTTCAGGAATGTGGGCATGCACATTTGTAGTGGGCATTAGAGTGGCTAACAAGCACAGGGTCCTCCACAGGCTAGAGAAGAAGTGTTGTGAAGACTCTCATGTTACTTCCTCCCATAAAACACTCTTCCAGTCTCACATGTGCTTCTTGGCAGGGGAGCCAAGCCTTTGCTACAGGTATCAGGGAGATGGGATTTGTGAACCTTTCGAGGAAGAAACCAGCATTGCAGACTGTGGCCTCTATACTCCTGAAGGATACTCAGATCAGTGGGCTACCCAGGCCTACTCCTCCCACGAGGACAAGAAGAAGTGTCCTGTTTCCTTGGTAACTGGAGAACCTCATTCCATGGTAAGCCAAGCCAGATGCCTCAGTCAAGGCTGAGCCATAGTGTGAAGGGACACCCTTAGATGAGTAATGGAAGCTTGCATTATGCTCCAGACTTTGATGAGGAATCTTGTCCTTACTGACCTCAGAAAAAGACAGTATTAAGTGAAAGGCTTCCAGATTATAGTGAAATATTCCTCCTCATGCTCACCCTGTTTAACCTCACAAGTTTGCATCTAGATACTTTTCACTATGCAGTCATTGACCCCAAGACATACAAAAGCAAAATTTAACTTATAAGTATACATATCAGAAATTATATTTAGACCCTATGGGTGGGAGACTTTGTTTTAAAAGAAAAAGAAATAGTGAAGAATCAAAAGTCCTGGTTCACACTATTGGAGCCAACTAGTACTACTGTTATTACATGATTTTAGGCAAGTTTTGGGCTACATACGCCTATGTAAATGAGTATGTTAATATCTTTTGCATTTATCTAAATCATTTATTATAAGGCTCAAGTAAGGTTTAAAATATACATTAAAGATCAAAGTATAGTGTGCCTTAAATAATTATTCTTATTGAAGAAATCCTGGAATTGGTATTAAAAGCGAATCCCTAATTGTACACTTTTCCTTCAGTATCCCCCTAAACAGATAATAGAAGCTCTGAGGACTCTAAAGTCCTCCAGGAACAGTGCAGTCACATGGTAAAGACTGTGGCTGTATTGATATTCATGAATTATAGGTGGATATCAAGATGCCTAAGGGTTCTTGGCTCTTGTAAACCATTCCAGATGCATTTTACCAAACAGACTCTCCTTTGTGATAACAATAGGCAGTACAGTCCTTTCAGGGAAGCAAAAGCTCTCCAGGCATTTCAGGCCAAGCTTAAATAATTGGATTTCAGCCTTGTGAGTCCATCTCTGAAGATACTCAGGAACCTCCCAAGTTGATCTATAGTTAAAGATCTCATCAAGGACCCTCACATCCTCTAGATTGTAGATCTGTATTATTCTTCTTCCCCTAATGTCACTGCTGCTGCCCTTAAGATTTCCTGTAGGAAGAAAGGAGCAAACCAGTGGGAAGCTGGCCCTTGTCAGTTGAGTCTATCCCCTTGTGCTGCAAAGATGGAACCTTTCTGCCATCCCAACACTACACTTACAGCCATATCTTATTGGAAGGACCCAGGGCACTTTGGGTCTAAGTTGTAGGAACTGCAAAGGAATGAACAATCATGGAACTGGATAACCTGGAATAAAGCTGGACATTGTTAAAAGAAAAGAAAGAAATGGACATGAATATGAAACTAACCCTTTCCATTATGCTCTCAAATCAATTCTGACATCTTTCTCTGCAGAGTTCTGGCACCCAATGACAGGAAACCAGTGAAATTGGGATATGCTAAGCTAGTGACATCTCTCTAAAGCAGCTTTTCATCTGTCCTTTCTGCCTTCCCTAAGTGAAAGGGAGCATTTCCCGGAGCACTGCTTCCTTGGCTCCTTTACTCAGTTGCCCAAGGCTCAAAGGCTGCCTGACTCAGAGTCCTCCCTTTTGGTATCAATTGATGCTGTGTGATGAGGACCTGTAAAGAATTCATCTAAGAAAGATTTCCTCTGCTAATCCACTGCTAAATCACCTGAAATGTGCAAGGATTATTCTTTCAGGAAGGTCCCTGAGCTGATTAGTTGTTGACTGAGAATTCTTCTGTTTGACTTTCTGTACTGGCACGTTATTGCGTATGATTGTCCACACCTCTAATTCTAGCACTTTGGCAGACTGAGCCAGGAAGGTCTCAAGTTAAATCCCAGCCTCAACAATTTAGCAGCTTAGAGAGACTGTATTTCAAAATAAAAGAAGAAAAGGGAGGTAGCTGAACACAAAGGTACTGTGTTCAATCCCCAATACTATAAAAACAAAACAACAATAGCAGAAAAAAAAAGCAAAAGCAAAACCAAACCACTGGCATGTTATATCTTGCAGCTAATAAGAACATGAAGAAGTTCTATACTGAGAAAAGTTTTATTCCACGTATTGTAGTCTTTAGACACTGTGAAAACCTTTGCTTTTATACTGGAAAGTTCTGTTGTCTTTACTCATGTCATACTCCGCACTTGAGTTTTGGTTGAAATTGCATTTCAGATTTGCACATCATACCATCCAGATCTACCCAAGCTCCACCCCTTTGCTGGCTGGTTTCCCTGCGTCACCAGTGGAAAAAGGCCTCAGGATGAAGTGAGTGAGCAGGCAGAGGGTAGCCTGGACAAGGAGGATGAAGTTTGGCTCCAAGTAAGTTGCTTAAATGAGTACTTGTGAAGGTTTTGAGTAGGGGAGAGTGTGTGTGTGCATTTGTGTAAAATTGTGCATTTGAATAGCTGGCCAAGACACTCATTTTGTTACCTCACAGTTTTTATATGTGGAATTTATCTTTGCCTCTCTGAATTTAGGACTTCTGTATGAATAGGAACTTTATCCCATTGACATACACACAGAAAAGTGTAAAAATCTCAAATGTGAAGGCCGATGAACTTTGCAATCGGCAGCCTCTCTAATGACTACACAGAGCAAGAAATGGAGCATTAGAATCAGAGTCAGTGTCACAAAGGTCTCTTCTGTCCTTTGTCTGGGATTATACTGTAGATATGCCTAGGTTGGTTTTGTTTATTTTTAAACTTGAAAAACTATTCTGGGTGTACTCCTCAGTGTGATTCGATCTCACTGAACATTGCATTTGGGAGCATCACCCCTTTTGCTTTCCTTGGTTGCACTGTTCGTTTTCACTGCAGCACAGCATTCCAATAAACAAAAACCCCCTGCATTCCAGCAGTCTACTACTGCCTTGTGGTTATTTATATTGATATATTAGGCATTTATGTTATTTCCAGGTTTTTGCTAAATTATTTTACAGTAAGGATGTCTGTACTGTTAAAAATGAATGTGCATGAATTGTCGAGTATATTTGAGACTGATGGACCACTGGTAGGCCTGCTTTTCGTAGATAATCTCAACTCATTTTCCACAGCTGATGTACTATTTCATACTCACACTCAAGGCTTATGAGTATTTCAGTTGCTTTGTAGTTTTACCCATACTTGTAATTTTGAATTTAAATCTTCTGTTCTCTAAAGTTATTCCTCTGTGCTTTCAACTTATATTTCATGATCAATGAGATTGAGAACATTTTAAATGTATATTGGTCATATGTATATACTGTTTGTTTTGTTTCTTTTTGAAAAGCATAATCAAGTCTTCTGCTCAATTTTCCATTGGGATGTCATTTTCTGTTTCATTTACAGGATGTATTTATAATCCACAATGAGTATAAATTCTTCAATCATATGTACTTTAATACTGACCTCTAATATAAGCCCTAAATATTTGTTCATTTTCTTTCAGATTGGATTGATGTTCTTGGTCCTTTTAATTTTATATAAATGTTGGGATCAATTTATCAGTTTTCTCAAGTGACAAAAACTAATGCTATGTTGATTGGGATTTTATTAATTCTGTAAGTCCTTTGGAAGAATTTTTTTTTTTGTTTTGTTTTTTGGTTTTCTTTTTAAAGCAGAGCCATTTAACATACTGTTTCAGTCATTTAAGTCTTTAACTTCTCTTATTAACATTTTATAGTTTTCTGAGGAAGGTTAATTTTATCAATACCTTTCTGCATCTATTGAGCTAATCACATTCCCCTCTTCTTTTTGTTAATATTTTGGTTTTGTTGATAGGCTTTTAAATGTTAACTCAACCTTAGGTATCAGTAAACCAAAAACAATTTGGAAATGATACAGAGTCAATTTAAAACAGTTACACATTTTCTTTTAAATTTTTGTTAATTTTCCCTTCATCTATATTCTTTAGATTCAGGCTCCTAATTTTGTGTTAATCTATGTTGTTAGGTTTTATGATCAAAACTACCTAAAATAAATTTTAGTTTTTTCTTAGCTCTCTAGAATATTTTGTGTAATGATACTATTAATTTTTTGGGCAATCACTAGTGAAGATATATAAGCCTGGAAATTTCTTTGAGGGATAATTTTTAATAAGTTAAATTTTTTAAACAAACAGAAAAATATAAGTTCTCTATTTCTTATTTGATTAATTTTGGAGTATCAAATTTTTCAAATAATTTTGCCATATTTCTAAAGTAATAAACTTGTTAAGCTTTCAATGATATCTTGTTACTTTCTTTGTAATAGTCCTAAAATCTTCAGGTTTTTCTTCCTAGTTCTGTTATTAATTTGTAGTAATTTGTTCGTTCATATCAGCTAAGGATTTACCATTTTTATCAACTTTTCAATAATTTCTTTAAGTAACAAAGGATTCAGATGTTCTTCTTTTTATTATTTCACCCCACAGTGGTTTGTACATGCTAAGCAAGTGCTCTCTACCAGAAAATTTACTTGCATCCCTATTTCCTTTATTTTATGCTTGCTAACTTTTCTTTTCCAGTAACTTGAAGTGACATATAGAATTAATTTTAGCCATCTCATATTTATTACCTCTATTTATATCTATCTATCTATCTATCTATCTATCTATCTATCTATCTATCTATCCTCTATCTATACATTAAGCTAAAGTTTTCTCTTAATTCATGACTTTAGCTATATACCATTAGTTTTCACATAGCATATTTCTGTTATCCAGTTCAAATATGTTTTCAAACTTTTGTTGTGATTTCTTTTTTTTTTTTCTCTTGTATTTTAGGGAAGGGTCCACAGCGTGTTCAGGGTCTCACTATTAGATCGGACGCATAGTGATTCTCCTGTTCACAGCCTCTCAAGAGCTGGGATTATAGGCATGCGCCACCAGGCTCTGTCTTAATTGGGGCGAGGCCAGCACAGCAGGCTAGGGGAATGGAACCCAGGCTGCTGTGTCTGCTTGCAGGTGCTTTAATCTGCTGAGCTATTTGGCTGGTCCATGATTTCTTTTTTGATCTTTGAATTATTAATTAATGTAGAGTTTAACCTGAAAACACTTTTGGATTTTCAACAGAGATTAATTCAATACTAGAAATTTGTTGAATGTTGAGTTGTAGAACAAAATATGGTCAGTACTGGTAAGCATCAAGTGTTCTTGTGGAATGGGTGTGTGATAAGCAATCATTAGATATTGAAGTATTCTGTACATCTCATAGTTCACGTTTACATACCATCTTCTTGAAATGGCCTTACACTGTCTGTATTTTTTATGCATGTGTGTATGTGTTTGTATTGTTTCCTTCAGACCCTGAGACGTATAGTGTGCATTAAAAATCTTTTTAGTGGGGACATCTTAGGACTTTCAGTATAAAGAAAGCATTTTTCTGGATGCCTTGGTAAATTATTATATTCCTTACTTAGTGTAGATCCCACATTTCATCCTCCATACTTCCAACATCATCGCACATTTCTCAGAGTCACCCCTAACATGATTTTTTTTTTTAAATATCACTTCCTCTGGGACATTATTATCCTTTTTGTCAAAACTACTTTCTGAATTCATGTTGACAACATCACTTCTGCTGAGCTTCTCTGGCTGTGTGTCTAGTTTCTTGAATGGCAGCGGCATTTCTCCACCAGATCCATTTACCGCTGGTCAAATTTTACTTCCGGGTTCACATGTTTTTTCTTTTCGCTGCTTCATTTTCATCCTTGTAGGTCAATGCTTCCTTTAGTTATCCATTTTTGTAAAATTTCACGTGAGCTTACCACTGGGAAACAATGCTACAACACAGCTGCATACCTTATGTCTCTGCGTGGTCCAAATAAGACCCTCAGTGAATAGTCAGGGATAGAGCTGAGAGAAGGGATGCAATTGGGTTCCGGTCATGATTCATATCTGCTTTCTTTGTTTAGATTTGGGTACCAGGTATTGAACTCAGGACCTTGTGCTTCCCAGGCAGGTGCTTCTGCCACTGAGCTTGTGTTTGTTATTTACATGAGTTTTTTTTTTTTTATTAAAAGGCTAGCAGTATATTTTATATTTTATATCATTGTAGTTAGTACATTGGGTGAACTAAAATTTCAATTATATTGATGAAAGATTCATTACTGTTACTTGTGGATATGAGAACTATGTAAATTAAGAAATGCAAATATATAATTGTAGAATTTCTGTACTTTCTCAGTGAACTATCTTTTTTATCTAAGAAAGATCTCCTTTTATCTCTGAGTATCTATTTAATTTTTCCTAAATACTCTTATTTTCTTTGAAAATTTCTATTTTATAGCTTATTCAAAAAACATTAATAAATCATTTTAATGTCTACACCTGGACCTCTGTTTGCATACCTTATTTTTTTCCCCACATTTTCACTTATTCAAATCTATCTGCTACCAGGCAGAAGAATGTTTTAACTGAAAACCAGACATCAAATATATAGTAGAGACTCTGGTTAATAATAGCCTTCTTTGAAGATCATGTTTTTATTTTATTTTTTATGTATTTAGAACAGGGTCTACAGGGTTTCACTACATAGATCGGACTGGTAGTGACCCTCCTCTTTTCAGCCTCCCAAGTGCTGGGATTATAGGTGAGCAACACCACACCCAGTCTCAATCGCTTTCTCAGTGCCAGCCAGGGGTGGGGCCAACACGGCAAGCCTGGGATCAAACCCCAGCGGCTGCTGTGCTCTGCTTAAGCAGGCTCTTTAATCCACAGAGCTATCTGACAGGCTCACTGAAGATCATACTTTTACATGTGCCATGATTTGAGAAAGATCAGCTTAATCCAAAAAGTAATAAAAAAGACTAGACCTTGTGCCATTGTATTTGTAAGCCCTGATAGCTGTTAGACATTCTCAGAGACTAAGATAGTGCAGGCTGCCAGGCTCCCTGCATGGAGCTTCCTTCTTCTTGATATATTGAGCTTAGTCTTGGCCTTGGTTAGTCTCAAACATTATATTTTACTTAATTGACATTTTATGGTTATTTGTTCCAGCAATGTTTGCTTTACTACAAACTACTCCATCAGAGCTGGATGCAGAAATCTCTAGCTGGAATTCTATTAACATAGCTCAGTTACCCACTGCATGTATTTCAGCTTTTTATCCTGTTCTTACAAGTGATACAGAAGAATGGGTGCTTGTGCTGTAAAACATCACTAATATCATTAAAGGTTATGTTAATACACAAACCATACAGAGAAAATTTAGATTTCACAAATGCACATGGTCCCGAAAATTAAGAATTGATTAAAAAATACGCTAGTGGGGTTTTTCAAAAAAACTTTTGTGAGAACTACAGAATTTCTGACATTTATTCTTCCTTTTAGTATAATTTAATCTTCATTTGATACACAAACAT